AATCTGGGTGGTCAAAAAATTTTGAATTTTAAGTAAAATAATTTCGTCTTCTATGAAAAACTATTTCAACTTTTTTCTTCGAAATTGCAATTTCGGGGCCCCAAAATAATTTTGCGTGCAAGTATAGTCAAGACACTAGCTTCACTATTTTTCCATTATAAAAGATTGGGTATAGAACTTATACGTGTGTCCTCTGGAGGTATATTAGGTGATATATCAGGTACTACTTCATCATGAACTGGTACAATATGTGCTAAAGCACTAACTCCGTTATTATCAATTTTTTCGCTCTCATCCATATTTTTTCTATGTATTATAAACGGCCTAAGATCTTTGACAGGTGAGGTGTGGCCTTGAGAAAGTTGAGCTTCGAGTCTTCGACTCATCACTGATTCCTCACTAATTACAGAGCTATTATTCAGCTTGATTATATTTTTACCGTCATCCTCGCCAACAATAGATTTCGATATAACCTCCGATTTCAGATTCCTGAGCTCACTAACCGCTGAAGCTAACTCTTGTTCCACTTTAGCCAATTCAGACCTGATGAATAGTAACTTAGATTTTTTCTTTGATGAACCGGCCTGAATCGAAAATGTATCTCTCTGAGCTGAAGCTAACTTATCTTTTAATATCTCGTTCATAGCTTGAAGCGATTTAATTTCTTTCAATTGGGTATCATACTTGGCTTTGTATTTGGCATGAGATATCTGTGATTGGAAGATCCAGGATGTAAGGTTAGTATTTTCAATCTTCAACCACTTAGTATCACCAATAAGTTCTAAAGTGTGGGTGTGTAACTTTTGTTTTTCACTATTAATATTATTAACTACGCTCCCCCACTGTTTTCTTTCTCGATCCCACTACTTTCTTTCCCAAACCTACTGCTTTCTTTCCCAATCCCACTTCTTACTTTGTTTTAATTGATCAGCTCGCAATGTTTTATTGCAAACATTTAATTCGGATATAATTTTTCCACCATACCACAATTCCTCGTCAATACTACATTTGTTATCCGTATTAATAGTTATGCTAGAAAATAAATTAAATATCAAATCCAAAATAAACAAAGTATTAATTGGGATAAAGAAATTGGTGATATATATATAACTTATGTAGTGAACTTCTATATTAACCACGTTGGCTCCGCTAATGCACTGTATATTCGGACAAGTCCAATAATATTAGAAAAGTTGAATATACATGCATATTGAGCTTGATATGTCATATGGGATATATGTAACAAATGGAAAATGTGTATATATTAAGATTAAAATGTCCGTATCGATGGGAATCGGGTATGTCCATTCAACATATTATATTTTTTCGACATATTTTATATTTTTCACTAGATATAAGTACCTTATATTTTCAAAACAGCAAAAAAAGAATAAAGTATTTACTGCTATAGTTAGAGTATGTATGAAATGCGATGCACCCTCATTTACTCCTACTGATTATAATTACATTATGCAATGCCAAGATATAAAACCAAGATATAAAATTTTAAACGACTTAACAGATAAGTATAAAACATCAACAAAACGTATTTATCAAATTTGGAGAGGAGAAGAGACTAATAGGGTTCTCTGGGATCAACCTATACTCCGCTCATATGACGATTCTAATCAAAATTCTAATGTTTCAAATTCTGGTGTAAATATTCTCCATATAGAATCTCAAC